ATAATAAATTAACCTTTCATCTAAATTAAACTATTATACTTCCTTTCTTGCCGCAATTATTAGGGTTGCCGCAATTATTTTTGGCAGCATTAGCATCCACAATAGTTTGGCGATTTTTTACGGCCCTCGAAACCGAATAGTACCGAGAATTATTGCATACTTTCCCTAGGCTTTGTATATAATACCTAGGCATTCTATAGAATGTCTAGGTATCATATACAAAGCCTAGGGAAAGTATGTAATAATTTTCATATTTCATAGGCAAAGCATGAAATAAAGGGGCTAATCTTTGGACTATGGTAACAGGTAGTTTGGCGACATTTTGGTAAGGCGATAAAGGTTGCTAGGTAGGACTTTAACAATCATCTGAGAAGTACACAGTTCGAATCACAGATTATTTTGTCTCAGAGAAATGAGAGATCATGAGACATGTCATATGACATTTTCCGGAAAATTCCGATAGTAAGTTTAGCTAATAAGCACTTAGAAACAATTTCGCTGCTAAAATGCAGAATCGCCCACTTATTTGTTTGGCGCTTTTTACAAGAGTAAGAAGAATTGGATTTTTGTCAATTTTCGTTGACGTTTTAAGTGAAAATAGGTCGATGTGTACATGGATAAAGTCAAGAGTGTGCGAAATGCCATTTTTGTGCAATTCTGGGATTTTTTATAAGTGAAAATAGGTCGACGTGTACATGGATATCGCGTACGTGCAATTCTTAACGCGAAACAGTGGACGATTCTGCACTTTCTCCCAATTTCGCACCTAATCTTCGTCATAATTAAGCATTTTTGTTCCATAAAAGTTCTAGTATAAGCGTAATTATTCGGCTAGCAGATTGTTGGAAAAATTGTTGAGAGAAAGAAAAAAAAAAAAAAAAAACATGCCTTTACTTCGTGAAAACAAAATGGCGTCCAAAAAAGAAAAAACTAGCAGATTCATAAGGCTATTTTTCAGAAATATAAATGTTACTTTGAAAAATTAATGAAAGAGTGCCATTAAAAAACTGTTATTCGAAATACGTTAAAAAAATAGTGAGATGATCTTGATTCAGCATAATACGTTTGCTATCTGGCTGAGACTGGGAATCGGTAAGATCTACCTAACGACGGAAATGACATTCAGAAACAATCATAAGTTTCACATCAATGGAATTTTTAATACATTTTTGTTTTCCTGGCAGGGTCATAAAGGTGGTTGTACATTACGGTATCATTACGTGTAACGTTTTTGTATAGTGTTGAAAATTCTTTCAACATTCTGTCTCGCTCGTGTCCAGTACTCAAATGAGTTTTCATGAAATACGGAAAATAACTTGGCGTTCTTGACGGAATACTGTATAGTAGCGACGCTTTTTTAACAGGGTAAATTAATGTACATTTCTTTTCCACAAACATCAAATCCTAGGAATTAAGCATCCAGTAGTCCCGCTGTTCCTTCTTAGTAGTCATTTTGGCCTTTTTAAGTCATTTATTAACTTCTGATAAGTAGTTTTAGTTCTTCGAAACGAGCCGGAAATGTATTTCCCGGTATTGTTGTATTTCATTACTTTCCCGTTTGTAATTTGGCATTCCATAGAATTTCTAGGAAATGTGTGAAATATGATTTGTTTCATACATTGCCGGCTAGTTTTAGGCATTATATACAATGCCTAGGCGTTCTATTTAGAATGCCGGATTTCAAACTTTGCCAATAACATAATATACATCATAAAATATTGTTACTCCAGAGATGCGAATGAAAAAGCAAGGATGAAAACACTTTTCGCTGAAAAGTCTAAGTAAATATTTAATGCATGTTTTAGATTTAAAAAAAAAAAAAAAATCTGATGTGTACACCACATGACTTCCTTGTACGGAATATTAAATTATATGCAGTTTTTCTTGCATTTCATTTAATCTTATTGGATTGTTTTAAATCTACTTCGCCGACAACGCATAAACCACAATAGAATAAATGCATTTTTTAAAATTCACTTTGTTTACCATAGCGACAATCTGGCGCTAGATTCACTAGATAACAGTATTATATTTCGTTCATATTACAACTCAGAATGCACAAAATTTATGTCATTTAAAGAATAGAATTATCTAATCGTTGCCACATGTTCCATTCAAATACTATAATAAAGCTAGAATGATGTATAAAAAAAATTACGCAAACAAAACAAAAAAGAAACATTTTTTCGCAGACGATTGAGTATTTCTCTTTCAATTAATTCAGTTCTCGCTTCGCGAGAAGGCAAAAATACATAAAAACTCAAAATATCTATATTAAAAATTACGAAGTAAATCTTAAACACCTATTTCCTCGAAAAAATTCCAGAAAAGATTAAGCATGATTTAATTGGCAATAATAAATGAAGGCGTTATCTTTGTTGTTGCGAAGCTAAGTTTCTCTAGATTGGTAACAAATCCACTAGTCTGCTGTTTCAAATGTAAACAAACAATGGCCGCCATCAAGAAAAGGATTAGGCTTAGCGGCACTTAAACAACTTTAAAATTGTTGATAATTCTAAAACTATTGCATAGAGATTTACTAAAGGCATAAAACACTTAACCGGAAGATAAAAACAACATAAATCAATCATTTTTAAAGCAAAAAATGTACAATTTACAAACATATAAGAGTAAATAAACTGAGCTCACTGAGCCGGGTAACAGAGTGGATATATATATAAATATATTTATATACGTTTGGTGCGGCCGATTGCAACCAAAATACGAGGTGCACATCTACATGTTATAGCCGTCCTATATACAAAATTTCAACGTTCTGAGGCTACTCGTTTTTGAGTTATGCGAGATACGTACGAACGTACGTACATACACTCGTACAGACGCCAGGAAAAATTCTCTTCAGAATTAATTTTAAAGCAATTTTATAATTTTTTTTGGAGGAAACGAGTCTTTTATTCTGTCCTTACGTACAGATATCACGCAAAAACATCGTCAAATTGCACTCGATAGCGGTCAAAATAGATATTTTCGTTGAAATATGCTGCCTGAAACTTTTCGCGATAACAATACTTCCTTTTTACTTCGTACAAGGAAGTAAAAAAGGCTGACATTTCTATCCAGAAAATGTTTCAGAAAAAAAAAAGTGTTCACTGATTGACTGGAGGTTAGAAATGAAATTTTATAAAGCACTACTTACCAGAGTATGTGCGTAGCAATTTTTAGTGGCTAACTGGTAGACTTGAATATAAGTATTTGTCATATCTCTGTATATGAGCAGTAGTTAGCAATAATGTATTTTCTTCCGCCCAGGTAATTTTAAAGAAAGATGGTGGAGTAGAGTGAATGAGTAAAAACACTACCAGTCATTATGTTAAGAGCCCGAAATTTGGAAAAAGAATTATTTAGATGAGTGGAGAATTTGTAGGAGGGAAAAAATGAAAGAATGCTATTAAAATTAATGGAGCAGAAACAATAAAAAAGGAAAATCTAATTGTATTTAAAGCTGATAGAAAAAATATCTGAGTAAAAAACACATCAAGGTTAAAAACATCAATTAACAAAAGATGATTGGTTTGAAAGCCTTGTTACGAACGTTTAAGAGAGGGGAAGGAGTAAATTTACTTCATGTCTTACATACACGTTTCCAAAAAAATATATTACTCGTTAATTAAACGTAATTGTACGCATTTTGTAATAAAGTAAAAACAAAAAAAAAAAACAAGGCATCGTAATGGAACATATCTAATAAACACTCCATTAACATTTTCTTTCAAATAATTTCCCGTTATAAATGATAAGTACATTCAGCTGGAAATGAGAAATACTCAGAACTGCGTATTTGCTGAGTAATACAGGGTTATTCAAAAAGAAAGAGCAGATTTCAAACATTTATTTCTTACAAAAGATAGAAACATTCTAACGTTAATGGATAGAGAAAAGTTTACAATTATGGTATGCATTCAATATGAGCACCGTGTGTTACATGACAAATGTCAAAGCGGTAGCTCACTTCTTGCCGTACACGAATCAGCTGGTCTTTGGTTATCGAATTCACTGCTTCAATAATTCGATGTCGTAGATCTTCAAGAGTGATAGGCATAGGAGGGATAAAACATGCTCTTTTATTTAACCCCAGAGATAAAAATCGCAAGGAGTGATATCTGGAGACCAATCTTCTCTTTCTTTTTGCAATCTGCTCTTTCTTTTTGAATAGCCCTGTATTATTACATTCGCAAATTTTAGTTAGGATCGTAGTATATTACTTCATTTAAATACATATTTTAAGTTTCATTAAAATTCTAATGTTTTAAAGACTTTGAAAGAGACTATACAGGAGTCCTTCGCTGGAAATATTTTGTTTTGAAATTTTAAAACAAGATTTCATGTTCTCCAATTACAGTGGGGCTAACTCTTAAATTTGCAGATGTAACGCAAATGCTTAGTTAAATGTTACAGGCATTTGTCTGAAATCTGAACCCGATTGGATTTTTTTTAATTCTGTAAATACTTTGAAATTTGTTCTTTAATTTTCTAAATTTTTTTGAAATTTTAATATTAAGTAGTAATTTTGAAGCATATATTTGCAATTTTTTCATATTTAATCAATACGTGTGCGGCTTCTTACAATTTAATGAACAAGCATGCTTCAGTTTTATTAAAAATAACACACAAAAACCATAAAAATGCTTTAAGAAGGTAACAGTTCACCACATATCTTAAAATTGCAAAGTAGATTGCGTACCTTTGGATGTTAGAGATTGCTAATTAAAATATACCAGTGAATGAAAATTCGTTAAATGCAAATCACAAAGGTTATTTAATGTAAAGGTCATAATTCCTACTTATCTTTTTTTAATGAAAATAATTTATGCTTAATAATAATTATTACTTAAAATTTTAAAGACTTGAAATTTTTTCCGATGCAGTTTCGATGTGTGATAACTATCTTAAATGTCATCGTGACATTATTTAAAGAGCATTTTAACATGAAAAGTTATTAATTGTACTTCTGTACCACTAAGAGATAATTATTTTTTTAGGATTGCACTGGAGTGAAGTGACAGGTGGAGAACTTGGCCTGCGCATTTTTGGAGCAATCATCTGTTCTCTCCTGGTAACTATGACTCTAATCGGAAATATTCTTGTGCTAGTGGTTGTGACCAAGTTTCGTCGCCTGCGGTCCATAACCAATCTTTTGCTGGCCAGCTTGGCGACAGCTGATATTACTGTTGCATCGTTAGTCATGCCCTTCTCTATCATTTATGACCTTGATAGACAATGGAGGTTTGGACCCATCGCCTGCCATCTTTGGATATCCTGTGATGTTATGTGCTGCACTGCTTCCATCCTTCACTTATGCGTCATCGCGCTGGATCGTTTCTGGGCCATCACTAAACCTTTCCGCTACCGATCTCTGGTTTCACGAAAGCGGATAGGGTTTGTCATTGCTTTCGTGTGGATGTGCAGTGCTGCTATATCCTTCATTCCCATTTTTCTGGGGTGTACAGTGATCATCCAATTAGCATATTCCAACCGAGTACCCAGTGCTCCCTTACAGTCAATCATATATATGCAACCATATCATCCTTAACTTCCTTTTATCTCCCACTGCCAATAATGTTCTACGTATATTTTCGTATTTTGATGGTTGCGGAACACCAGGCCAGAGAGATCAAGCAACTGGAGAGATCCCTACAAGGTGCAGGAGCTCATGGAATCAGAAGGAGTCTTAGACGACGTTCCAAACAAGTGGTAACAGACACAAAAGCCATTAGGACATTAGGTATCGTCATGGGAGTCTTCTGCGTGTGCTGGTTACCTTTCTTTCTTATGTATGTCATTTTGGCATATTGCTCAGACTGCTATCTCAGCTATGAAATTCGTAGTGCCATCACGTGGTTAGGCTACTTCAACTCGTCGTTTAACCCCTGTATTTATGCATTCCTAAATAGAGACTTCAAAGAGGCTTTTAGAGTGGTGTTATGTTGTAAGCATCATAATGGTGCCGGCATGGATGAAACAAGCACAGGTGGCAAAGGAATAAGAATGGACAGATTAAATGCAGACGCTATAACACCAGAAGCAAGGACTCCTTGCCTGAGTCCTCAAGTGGACCATGTATCATGGCCTTCAGGTGAAGTTGTGTATGATCAATATCAGCCGTCATCATCTCTTTTAACAGTTCCGGGGGCCAAGAACCATGTGAATGAGCATTTTCTTTGACTTACTTAACGTTACTATTGGTGCCATTCTAACACACAGAGCTTTTCAGAAGTTTTGATGCGATGTGTGGAAACTTTACATTAAAGGCAAATAAGAGTAATAAAAATTCAGTCGATTGAAGTTTTCCTGATGCACCAAAATTTTCAACAAATATGAAACATTATTGCTTCGAGAATGAAATATTGAACGTTTTTTTAAGTGCTCAGAGAAAGCTGCTTAATTGAGCCCTCAATATGTTATAATTGATAATTGAGTGTCCTACTGCCGAGAGTAAAGTCTTATTTTACGAGCTTGTTGGATCTCTGATGAAGATTTCAGGGACAAATCAATGATTACACTTGAATGTTTTGATCCTATTCACTTATTCTGGTAACCTGTTTTCAAAGAATGCTTTCAAAACTGTCTAAAAGTTATAAATATTTTACATTTTTGATCAATTTCTATTCAAGATGCTGAGATTAACTGGATCACAGAGCTTCAAATGGATCACAGAGCTTCAAACCTGTTACCATGTCATGAGCTTCTCAGATGAAGGCTTATAATGTCTTAAACACTACTCATATTTGCTGTAAATCCTTGATGTTTCAGTAATAATTTAAGTATATCAAATACTTTGGTGTTTTATGGAAAAAATTTCCTAGTGTACGCTATGCATTTGAGCTCTTACGTTTAAAAAACATTCAAGTGAAAATAACAAACTGTTAAAGTTTTCACAGCTTTGTAAATGCTCAAATTCAATTGCACAAGACGTCTCGTAAGCTGAGATTCAGCTTTCAGTATGCTACTTATTTCTGTAATCAGAAAAATGTTCCAACCTTTTTGACATCTTCTCTCTATGGTATGGAAATGCTTATAGTCGTAAATGCTTATTAAACTTCAACTGCACTATAGTCATTTGTGGATGTGTTTTCATGTTATGTGTAATGACTGATAAAACCTGCCATTGTACACGTGAAATTGGTAAAGTATTGAAATTTGAAATTTAAATCGCTTATTCAAAACTAAAGCATCTCGATTAATCGAACATTACTTGAACAATTCATGAACTGCATTTCTACTTAATCATAAATATGCTTTTCTGATACTCAGTTAATATAACTCATAGATACACTGGAGAGGCAAAACATTATGACCACCTACTCAATAAGGCGCTGCGTGCCTTTTGGCCTGCAAAACAGCTGCAACTCGCCTTGGCATGGATGCTACGAGTTCTTGGTAGATGGAGACAGGTTGTACCAAATGTCTAAGCAGCGGTCACGCAAAATCGAAATATTCCAACACGATCGTGTTTGAGCTCTGAGCTGCCACTCCATGACATCCCAAATCGGGTAGATCTCCGGCGAGTTAGGTGGCCAGGACATTAACTTGAATTCATCCTTATACTCCTCGAACCACTTCAACACGGTTCGAGCCTTGTGATATGGGGCATTGTCCTGCTGGAAGATTCCGTTGCCAGTTGGGAAGACAGACGCCATGTAAGGGTGCAATTGATCTGTAGTTATGTTCAGATAGTCAGCAGCTTTCATGGTTTGTTGTACCACAACTTACAGTCTCAAAGCCGCCCACGAGAACGTCTCCCAGAGCATAATACCGCCACCATCAACCTCTGTATGACTTGCTGTACAGATCGGAGCGACTGTTCGCCTGGAAGACGGCGTACCCTAACACGGCCATCGACGTGATGGAGGAGAAATCATGATTCATCCAGGCAACAGGCAACTGTCTTCCACTTATCCATGGTCCAGTCTCGATATTCCCGCTGTAAGCGTAGTTGACAATGATACTTGGTCAACACAGACACATAAGTCCCGTCCAACAGTGTCCGCTGTGCAGTCCCATATCCAACAGTGTCCGCTGAACTGTGTGCTCAGAACCACTTGTACTCTGACCTGCATTGTACTGGACTGTCAGCTGAACCACTCTCTGGGATCGACTTTGCTGTAGCAAGCGGGACAGTCACCGACGTTCCTTTTTGATGACGTATGGACGTCCAAAACCTTGGCATCTACCGTCGGATTCACCACGTTGTGTAAATACTAATAACAGCAGATCGTGAACAATCTATCAGCCGTGCAATTTCGGAGATACTCGTTCCGAGTCTTTGGATCATTACAATATGCCGTCTAACAAATTCGCTTAGATCAGCAGCCTTTTCCGTTTCTCGCATAAGTAAGTGCAAGAATAAAATCCTTACCTTCTTCAGCAGCAGTCAAATACGATTCCCACTTCATCACGTTCCCTCTACGTCATCCAGACGAGTTCATTGAAAAACGTGCGGTTGGTCATAATGTTTTGGCTCATTAGTGCATTTTCCTTATGCATTCAATAATGTTTATGCAAAGCAAGATTCTTATCGTATAATCAAATCGTATCAATCATAATCGAAGCATTAATTTTAAGGCCTACAGCTTGTTATTTATAAGCTAAAATATTTCAACTGTTGCAAATTTTATTTGAAATACAAATATTATATACAAAGTATGAAATTCACAATAATTTTGCAAATTGTGAACACACTTCGCAATCCGCTGTAAAGCTTGGATAATCCTATTCAAACTCTATAAACTGAAAGCGCTTAGGAAACGCCGTATTTTTCTTTTGTGCATTTATTAAGAGATCCTTAATGATATTTCTAATTCATAGAAAAGCAATTTTACTTCGATTACTGACGAAACCTTTAAAATAAAACGTTTAAGAAACAGAGAGTGTTAAGCTAAAGAAAAAAAATCATGTTTCCTCTATATTTATTTAAAAGACCTTTTTCTTTTATTAGTTCAAAATGTTTCATTCCTAAAGTGTTAATAGATATGGCAACTTTGAATGTAAGTTTCCTTATTCAAATAGCAATTGCAAGATATGTGTCAAAAGCCCGTTGTCAGACCAGATTCTCTTGGGTGTGTTTATATTGTGTGCAAATATGCCTCACATGCATCTTTACCTGTCCCTAATTGTTTCATAAGAATAAATTGAATTTAATTTAAAAAATTAAATTTAAATACATATTTAATTAAATATTCTTTGCGCCATTGCTGCAAGGAATGAAATTTAAATTCTTAACAAATACGTATAAAAGTAAAAAAATTTAAATTCTAAAAAAAGGAAAAAAGCCAAAATAATTTAAAATTGTGCAAACATGTAAAAGCTTGAATTCCTAGACCTGCAAATTATTAAACACAGCAAAATTAAATTATTTGATAAAAGAAGGAATTTCCATTTTCCTACTATTAAACTAATTAATTGGAACTCTAATATCTCTAAGAAAGTAATAGAAAAACACGTTTAATCAGAATATCAAAATAAAAATATATGTATGAAAATGACGATTTAAAGGAAGACTGAAATCATAAAGGAAAATCATAAAACTAATTAATGTACAAGTTGATAACCAAGTACCACCAAAATTTATTAATTTATATATTAAAAAGGCAGTCCTTCACTTTACTTTATAATTTTTTGGCTCTTTTGGATATGATAACATTACCTTAAACCTTAGCTGGAGGGTAATGAAGGATATAAAAGAGTAGAGAAATTATTGTAAATTTTTATTGTAAATATTTTGTAAATATGTATATTTAATCAATACTGGATTCTTTCCTTTTACTAATAAAGGGCCAACTCTTTTCAAAAGTCTCAATTATAGCCCGAATTGAGTGAAGATTTTAATCTTCTTCTTCTAATTTTCCATACTTTAGCCAGTATTTAATTAAGTTTTGATATACCAATTGAAATCAAGTTCATTAAACTTTTAATATTTTCTTTCATCAAATTTAAGCTTTATTTAACTTCCTAAAGGAATTTTTGAGAAATTTCTGGGAATTTTTAGAGGTTTTTTAAGGACTTCATTTCAAAAAAATTTTGGGAAATTTTACTTTAAAACTTTAATTTTAAAACATTTCAGTTTTTCTTAATTACTTTAATTTTTTGCCATTTTCACACAAAATATCTTTCACTTAATTTTTTTAACAATTTTCACAATTTTTTAACAGAACACACATTTTAAATTACAAACAGTTTACATTTTTTTCACATACCACTACACTTTAATTTCCTTCAAGCAAACTTACATCTCTTGATTGGCTCAGTTACTTAACTCCCTAAATAATTGATATTACTACCTTTAGGATTTTTTATTTAATTTAATTTAATTTTTAATATTAATGTTTAAAAAAATTTTTTTACTATAACAAAGTTAGCAGTTTGACACTCAACTTTACCTACATAAGCGCCATCTATATAATTTGAAGAACACACTTACTTCTCTTTCACAACACTTTTGCAGACCCCAACACTCATATAGTAGGTAAGTTAGGATTAAAACTTACTATTTACTTGCTTTAAATATTTTTTAATTTTTTTTTATGTAGTATCTAAGTATTTTTTAAATATGAAATTATATTTTTAAATATATATTAGTTTTTTAAAAATTGTGAATTAGTTCTTTTTGTTTCTTATTGGTTTATATGGATTATGTATAGTTCTTTTATAGTTTCTTTTTATGATATGATGCATATTCGTGTAGGGAAAGTTTCTGTAGACAAGGATTTCTAAAATACATTGGTTTCTAGAATTTTTTTTATTATTATTTTATAAAAAATTAATTTTAAAAAAAATTTAATTTTTCTAAAAAAAAAGTTTAAATCTTGACTTTACTTGCTTGTTACTCAAAAGACTTTCCTTTTTGAACTTTAATTCTTAAATGTTAATTTCTAAGGGTACCACTTTATTGGAATTACTTTTGGTTTTGACTTTTACCCTTGCCTGCATGAATGACGAAACACGAATTGAATGATTGGGGAGTTAGGTTTGGAGGCAACTTCCCCTTGATAAGTCTGTCTCCTGCCTACTCTACGGTCATTCACATATGCATTTTTTAAAAAAATTGTTTAATTTACTTTTAATTTATTAAATTAGTAGATTTATTTTAATGGATAGTTTTTGCACTTGATTTGCTTATGCTTCTGAATTTAAATGATATTGCAGATTAGTTCGAGAATTAAATCTTTTACATGTTTGCACAATTTTAAATTATTTTGGCTTTTTTCCTTTTTTAGAATTTAAATTTTTTTACTTTTATACGTATTTGTTAAGAATTTAAATTTGTTTACATTTACCTGTCCATAATGTTTTCATGAATATCTTATCACGAAATGAAACGGAAGTAATTGTATACAGATAAATTGCCTTCATCTCACATAATGAGTCATTTTAGCAGTATATAAAAAAATCAATTAAAATGAATAAATATATTTTGAAAATAAAATGTTATTTATGATTATTGGAAAATGAGGAAAACCTTTTTTTTTTGAATCATTTAGTATAAGTTTAAAGGTAAATAAATTGCTTTATAGTAAACATTTCAGAAATTTTTCAAGTTACCCAACAACAATTGACTAAAGTTAGCTTAGACACTCTTTCGCTATATTAAAATTATATCACTTCCCTTCGTCTTCGTAACGCTCTTGTAAAGTAAATTCCTTCCAGATTATGAATGCTTTCTCAGTCACGTGATTTAACTGTCGGATAGCTAACTAGTAAACTACCCTCAAAGGAAAGTGATGCCAAAGATACGCACAAGGCTTCAGGAAAATTTAAATTCATGAGACATTCCGTCTGGACTGCTGCATGACAAACAACTTGGAATGATATCCGCCATCTCGTTAATTTGAATATCCGTTAATATCCGTTAATTTGAATTCCTAAATCTGTTCGGTGTGGACCTAATAAAGCATGAGTGGTTAGGCTGAGTGCGGTGATGTATCTCCTGAGCCTGATGGCCGGGAAGAGTAATTAAATTTTAATTGAACGCTTGATGACGAAAATTGTTCCTTGCAGGTGTATGTGAGTGGGGCGTGAGAATGAGGAATTCATCGATTGGAAAGAATTCGACAGCTCTCTTTGGTATCTCGTGAGATTTCGTTTTGACCAACATATGCAAACATGACACCTTTCAGTGTAGCTGTGTGTCGTAATTACTTGATGAAGATTCATTTGTGTTAAATGAAAAATTGATTTTATTACCTTAGCAAAAACTTATTTTCATAATGTTCCTTTTATGTGTTTCAGAACTTTAATAAAGACAAAAGCAAAAAGAAATTTTAAAAAGATTCTAAATAAATACCGTGCGCTCGCAGTTGAACCTTATTCCAGAAGCGACTCAGGAAATGATGCAATCCAGTATACTTACTTACATGGTAATAAAGAAAAGGATTATTCGGTTTAAATGAGCTAAAAAGTATCGCTAAGGATTAAGAAGTTCTGATGGGTGTTATATTTATTGATATAATGCGATTACCAAATGTTGCGAAGTTCTGAAAATACTTGTATTAACAAAAGTCATAATACTTGTATTTAATACAATTAATTATATAAAAATTAATTATATAAAAATTTAATACAATTAATTATATAAAAATTTAATACAATTAATTATACTTTCTTAAATACCTGTATTAAGTCAACATGCTCACCATTGACCCTTAATTATAGCAGAGACTAAATCAGGCAATTATTACCATACCTCTAACTCACCCAACAACATCCTTTTTGATGTTGTAACTTGCTACTAAGGCTATTGCTGCTAAGCCTTAAAGAGTTGATAATATGTTATCGACATAACATATTAATAAATCTTGTAACAGCGTTTTGACAAATAACGTTCTTAGAAGACAAACTTACCGAGTCGCTTAACATTTATTTAGGAACTACAGGGTGCGGCAGCGTTCATAGTGCAATTTGACTTGCGTAGTACAAAGATGTACTACATGAAAGCGCGCCAGCTGGTGCCGCATTCGTGTACTAATGAGCTGACATTTCGAGTATGACAGTGACATGAATCGGTGGAGCGCACAGCATCGTGTTTTTGCTGTTGAAAGTTATTTCAAGAATAACTACTCTGTTATTGCTATCCAGCTTCTATTTCGGCAATTTTCAACTTGGGACGTTATAGGAATGTTCCAGATGGACGAACCATTGCGATAGGCATTTCCAGATAGAGTAATTTCCCGTTTTGGTGACATTTCCTGGCCGCCTCGCTCACCTAATCTTTCATGTGCAGACTTTTCCCTTTGGGGCCACCTGAAGCAAGAGATTTTCCGAACACGTTGTGCCACCATTTCTGAGTTGAAAGATCGCATCAGAACTGCCGTCGGCAATGTCCCAGGGAATAAGTTACGCCGAGTTATGGCAAGCTTCCAACGCCTCCTAGATGAATGTGTTGTGCAGAGAGGGCATCATTTGACAGGCATCATATTCAAAAAGTAATCCACACAGTGGACAATGACTTACACATTAGTAAATGGCATACTTTTAACTATTAATTGGCATAAGAGGTAATAAATAAATTGCAATTACTGCCTTGTGGTGTGTTTTTAATATCCTACTATGAACGCTGCCGCACCCTATATAATCGTACCATTATCAGATATACTTTATGAAGTCTCGTCTTCTTTGGTAGTAGCAAATGCACGAAACTTCTAAAACCTTAAGTGAATTATCCGTCAGTCTTATAAAATATCACAGACACTGAAAATTTGTATAAAGGATACCTTTATTTAACTGAAACAAAAATTAACAGAAGGCATCACTTGTGCTTACAGAACAGCCAGCATTTGTGGTTTTAAATCAAAAGTATTGAGTTAGGATTAATACGTTGTTGTAAGATACCCCAACAGAATATAGATAAAGAAAAGCGAAAGTTGGCTCTGACCTAAAGTCGGCGTGACAAGCCTACGTCATGGAGTCTATTATGAGAGCAAATTTGGAGAGGGTCTTTATGTACGGGCATTAGCATTATTGCAATTATTAAACCATAAAACCAAAGAGACTTATAAATCATCCACAGTTATACATTACTCAGACGTATAATTATCCAGTATTCGTTAAATTTA